GGCAACTAGAATCATTCTAAGGATGAAATTATCCCCGTAGCTACATGAGCGCAAAACGGAATTATAGCTACAATCCTCGTCGCAACGACCGATCCTCTGATTTAGCAATAGGTACGGCTTCTCTGTCTTCCTCCCCCCCGCCTATCCATTTCTCTTCTATTCATTTCTCTATCCTACAATATTACAGCATGCGGATATAATTTCGTGTTTGTAACTAAGATTCATCTAAATCTATGCACGTATAAAACGTGTATTCACACGGTTTTCTTACATTTGCGGTCGATTGGAGAAAGTCTATAATGCTTAGTTCAGGAATATTGCTAGGATCCATTGTTAATCAATTTTTTGATTTATTTTTATAATATTCACCTTCATCGATCGTACTATAGAGACTCACGAGAAATTCGCACAAGTCGTTTCTCATGCGCGCGTTGAAATCACCAGAGTGCCCCTTAAAATAAGACATTGTTGCTTCTTATATTGGAATTTCAATACATTGCAACAAATTTTATCTGTCTGCAATTAATATACATCCAGTAATTGAGATTTAGATATGATATAATTAATTTTTTGTTTTATTACATATTTAAATACGTTAATATAAAAACTTTCGTCTGTCCAACCAAATTATTACTGTATGTAAAAAAATACTTTTTTTGTATATCTTATATAAATATCAATCATTAAATATTATCAGAAAATAATTTTTCTTTCTTTTTTGTATTTTCTTATTTTTGCAGATAATTAAATTTATTAATTTTATTAGAGTTTATATCAAAATTCATTTTATATGATAATATATTCGAATTATACAATACAATGAGGCAAGCGGAAGTCGCTTTTGTCTACGCACACGCGTTTTCATCTTCCTTGTGAAGGCGAACAGATGTGAAAGAAGATACGAAGGAATTAAGGACCGATAAGGAAACATGAGAGAACGGGAGAACGTGATATAGAGGCGAGAGGAAGCCGCGGAAGCAGCGGAACGAGGAGAGCGAGCGAGGCGAGCGAGCGCGAACGAGCGTGCACGTGGTGGCACGTGGAGAGGCGTGGTTCGTGGGAGGGCCCTGTTCACCAGACCGCTGTAATCCACTTGGCACACGCTGTTCTGCTAAGCCCTACTCTTTTCTCTCGGCCGTTCGCCACCCTACTCTGCTCTCTGCCTCTCTATCTCCGCGCGTTCACCCCTGCCTACGGCGCTGCCGCGCGTGTAGTCGCCACCGTCACCGTCTTCTTCCGTGTGCACATGCGTTGTGCATCTTCAAAATACTTCGATCTGTTATGCCTTCCGTTGGCACAAGAATCGCGAGAGAAAAAAATATTTGGAATCTTAAATTTGAAGTAAAAGATCCATGGGGTTCTTATTTATATTTTTGAAATAATTTGCGAGATTAAATGAGCTTATAAAAGCTACAGCATATTTAATTTACTTTTAGCAACATTGAATTAATACAACTAATAATTAATCTCATTTCTTTTATGATTTTATGAAATTATCAATGTAATAATTTAACGCTCTGTAATAACACTATTAATATATAATCTTTTGTAGTTTTTAAAGTTATTAATTAAAAATATAAATTATAATTATTTACATTACACTCGTATTTAGTGCATCTTTTGCAATGTACTTGCTTATTTCCATCGTATTCCTCGTAGATAAGATTGCGAGCAATTGCATTCTGCTTTTATGCTATCTTAAATAACGGATTTTATGGTATCTCTTCACGCGGGTTGTTAAGTGCCATTTTCGCATGTAAAAGTAATCGCGGATAAGGTATACAACGGTGTTCAATTAAAATGTAACTGTAACATATTACGTTACGGGTTGACGTTCTCTTGGTATCGGCTAATTTATTGCGTGGCGATAACGACATTGTATTTTATAGCAGCAAGAACATATAAGTATTTTTATTTCTTTGAAGCACGCGACTATCACAAGCTTGGCAGTTAGTCTGGCTAATTGCATCAGGTCGAGTTTTACGATGCAATTAGTAATCCAGAATTCCTGACATCCGGATGTCAAACGTGATCGATCGAATTACTTTATTTTCCATTAAAAAAGTTTATTAGACTTTATTTTCCATTAAGAAGGTTTATTAGACGCAAGTAGGATTTACGACATCATGTTCTCATTTTTCTTACAGATAATAGACTCTCTTTCGACGGATTAATTAACTCATTAAATATAAATACATATAGGTACTTATACAATATGTTTTTCTACATTAAGTTAAAAATGTAATGATATTAAAATAATTACTGTAATAATTTATCTAGAAAAATGTGTTTTATACAATATAATTTATTTGTATTATTGTATTATTATAGTATTATTCAATTAATCCAACCGTTGGGTTAATTGAGCAATAAAAAAATTTTATTGGTACATTACATATATGTTTGCATTAAGTAACTATATGAAAAAACTATATTATATTATATTTACCACATGTTTATATTTTCTACAGTATGTGTTAGCAAATATATCTAAAACGAGCAATTCTTTATGCATTATTATATGCATAATTCCTATAATTTCAATAATTTGTTTTCAATAATCTGCATCTCTCCATCGATAATCACATATTTTCATCTCACGCGAACGCCAATAATTAACGGGGATTACCAAGTCTAACACAACTGATGCTTCAGAGATCGCGGAAGGCTCTATCAATTTCACTGGTTGTTTTACGACGACTCCGCGGAGATAACAATAAACCCGGTCCCTCCTCTCGCGCGCGTTCAATTTACCGTAACAGCCGGTCCATTGTACCTAATCGTCACCTCTTTCACGCGTACAACATATCCCTTGCAGAATTCATAGGCGTCATGGTGAAATCACTTATAATCGATGCTTCGCGATCGCGGTGGGTGGTCTCAGGCGTGGTGCGATTGTGAAATTAAATCGAACGCGACTTCGATATCCATGACTATCGACGAGTGGCATCTCGATGCGCCGGGACGCCTTGCATCCGATTGTCGTATCGGATTACTCGCATAAACCCTTCCTGGTTGATTCGATAAATCATCGACACGTTCTTGTTGACTCTTTGTTTCTTATAATCAAATAAATGGCTTAAGATACGAGAATCATCATAAAACGCTATGATTAAATAGCATCGTGAATTTTCTTAAATCGATCAAATGTGTCACTTATTATTCTGATATATAAAAATTTTTATTTTATTATCTTACTAAATATATTTTCAACATTAAAATTGAACTCCAGGAATTATGTCATTTCATAATTAAAGAATTTAATTCTCTTGTACGTTTTCATATTCTTCAGAAGAGTAAATTTAAATATAATTACGGAATTTCTAGGAGAAATACATAGAATTGCTAATTTCTTCATTACTAACGGTCCTTTAATTACTATTAATTACTATTAATTATGCGGAGAAAAAACTGCAGTCTACTTAGTATCGATGTTCTGTCACAAAAGCGTGGTCGTTGATACGAGACTGTCTATCGCTTGGCCGTCAGGGGATAATATCGCGTAATAATAATCGGGAAGGAAGATGGGGTGCGCGGTTGTTTGTATAGAACGGGGTTGTAGTATTTTAAATGCCAATGATTTCATGTCTCCCTGGGGTGTTCAAAACCACCCTATATAGGGACGTTCCGGAGACGTCCAAGTGCTCAGTCGACGACGAGGATTCACCGATTAATAAGATCCACCGCGAATCTCTTGCTTGTGCTGAATGTAGTGAAAGTGATTTCGGAAATTTCTCTTGTTAATGATTACCATTAGACTTGCTTTGATTAATAAAATAATTATTACTAAAATTTAAAAAAATTAACGAAAGTAACAAAAATTCGTCGTAATAATAATTTTCTAAGTCGCAGTAATCTCTGCAGATATGATCGCCATGGATGCTGGACATTTTCAGTATGACAGATATTGTATGTAAAGAGATTATATACTCAAATATTTCATTTTTTTTCAAAGATTTGCATATCGAAATTTGTAAGTGGATTTGTGTTTTGATACTGTTTAAAAAATTATGTATTTGTAGTACCTATATAATCATTGCCTATTTTTGTTAGGTTTATGTAATATAAATAAACATTTAAGAAGAGATTCTAAAATATAAAATTAAACAGTTTACGAATTATGTTCCATCTTGCAAAATATAATATTTTTTCCTTTTATAAAATTATTATAAAATAAAAATATATATATTTAAAAAATGTATATATAATATATTTTATAATATATTCGAAATTGATTTTAAAGTATGTGGAGATTTAAACGTCAGAGAGTGACCGAGTTGTACTTAACGTGCTGTTCTTGTACCGCGCACCGGAAGTGCAACGTGCCACACAGAATGCTAAACATCAATATTAACCGCGCGTTCTTGCGATAGAAAAAGTGTTCTACTGTGTTCTCCCGGCATATCATTTAAAATTGACATATCAGAAACTTTTTCCTTAGAAAGGAGGTTACGATCCATTTTTGTCTCTTTGCGCATAATGAATAGCGTTAGTTTTTACTCCATATTTGCTAACATTTAACGATAGACAGTCTGCACATTATTTATCAATCAGTGTCTGATTTATTATTCGAAGTCTCTTATTGGAGAAATGTGCATTATATATTCCACATTTTGCATCTCACGTATATTTAGATGAAGAAATGTTGAATAAATAATGAACATTAATAATCATTATTAGTAAAGTTGGATTTTTTATAAAATCTTATTTTACTATACGCTAATATTAAATAAAATGACACCCTTCAATAATATCGCGTTCCCAATTTCTTCTCAATTTCTTCTCCAAATATCTCCTATTTTTGTCTATTATTTTTTTCTTAATCGTACTTTTATCAAAATTATTCTTCTTTATTTCAATATTTACTCTTTAAATTCTTTGGAATGAAATTTCACTTTTCAGGGTGACATTCACTCTAGAAGTTGTAAAGAATAACTTAAATAATATTAATTGCCTAATATAAAAATATATTAACCGAGTATACCATTTGGGTGTTGCAGGGCAACTGCATTCGCCGAACGGCGACAGCGACAACAGCAACGGTAGCCAACGGGCGGTGGCTGTTACTCGTAGCGAGGTAGAACAGCAGCAGCAGCAGCAACAACAGCAGCAGCAGCAGCAACAACAACTACATCGCCCACGACAGCAGCAACGTCAAGCGACCGCTACCGTTCCGGTTCTCGCTTGCACTAATCAATCGTCCATCACCACGACTACGACCGCCCTCACAGTGGCATCAAGCATGCTACTTTTGCAGACACAGGTGAGTTCCATTTCTCCGTTTCATGTGATGCACTCTATCTTTAGCTCTCAAATTAAATTCGAATTGAATTCAATCGAAGATTCATTAAATTTCGATTGAAGAAGGAAAATTAAGGTAAAAAGATTATTTTATATATAGCGATAAATAAAATTAGGGGTAAAGTGAAACTTGATTATAAATTCAATCGATATTCTGAGATATCGTTTGTGCTGTGAATCTTGTCCGTTGTAACTCCGTCGACTGAACGGATCGGTTAAATCTTCGCTTGCATGTCTACATGATGCAACATAAGTTGTAATTTTACGTAATAATATTCATCCGTGTAAACGCTCATATCTCATCTCGTCTCTCATAAATAATTCCAAGAAGGTCTTATGAGAAATATGGATATGTAATATTCTTCAAAGAAAGTAAATAAAAAAAAGAAAGGAATAACATGCTCCGTGCAAGAACGAGCAATCTCCAGTCGGTTAAAAGATTAATTTTTAGTACTATAACATGTACTTTTCTAGTTGAATTTATATAATTATATAACCTTTGACATCAAATAATCAAAAATATATTACAGATATGATGTTGTTTAATGAAATGCACTATTTTCTGAGGAACAAGAAATTGTCTAAAAATTGCTTGGAAATTGCCTGAAAATTCAAACTCTAATATTTAATAACTTTTGAGTTTTTTTCCCTTCTTTGCAACATTCCATATTTAACGGTAGACTACTTTCTTGTTCTTATATCATTTCTTATCATTCGATCCTCCTTATCACAGCAAACACGCAAAGTAGCGTTATCTATCAACAGCAATATATTATCATTGAAATATTGCCACCCATTTTTTCCCCACCGATAAGCTCGCCTTTACGCGACCAGTTCGAAATTATAGAGTCGTAATCCAACGGTTAATCCAATTCTTATTGACTTCTCAGACTTTCGGATTCCACGGTCCCGCTTGGTCCGGTTACAAAACTCTCCCGCATTCCTAACGTATTACGCATAATCTGCATTCCATATGCTTGAATGCTGTCTTACTTGTTTCTCCTTTCTTTTTACTTTCCTCTGGTTTTACTTCCACCCGATTTCGACTCCTTTTCCGCGGTGGACGAAACGATGTTGCAGTCAATTAACCGCTAAAACGAGAATGTGCCGCAGAATTAGCGGAGCAATATTGAAGAGGTTGTCTCGACAGTTTAGCAAGAGAAAATAGAGGCTAGAGGAGGAGGGGTGCTTTTAGGATGCCGTTTAGCAGGCCATTTATTCACGGTCTGGAAGGACGAGGCTTCGATCGCCGGTCCTCGAGGGAGCGATGAGCGAAATGTCAGCTCGAAGCGGAACCGGCACTTGCAAATTGAATATCCACCCTCTTTCACCATCCCCGTCTTCCTCCTTATGATGCTATTCTTTACTCCCTGCTGTAGGATGTCCTACTACTACGATATTTTCATAATTTTCATTCTCGGATTTTAGAACAGATATTTTTTTTAAATTCAGGTTGTACGAATTTGTTAATAGGGAGTTTTTTCAATAACGTGAATTCAGATATGGTGAACGCTAAAGTCACACGTTATCCTTTCCTTAATTAATTGTTAAGAAGAAGATAACCTGACCTTAGCGTTCACCATATCTGGATAAACGGTATTGTAAAAACTCCCTATTGACGACATGGATTTCTTTCCGCTATATTTTGGATGTTTTCCATTTGGTGACACAAGTTAATACAAATGTCGTTCTATCTTTGTTACTATCTGAATGGCAAGAAAAATAGATTGATGTGTCGACTTGTGTCACTAAATGGAAAGCACTTTATCATTAAAATAATTGTTATTATTTCGAACATTGACAAAATGGCATTTGCCATAAAGATTTTATGATATTAGCGAATATCATAAAATCTTTATTCGAATATTTTTTTCTTTCTTCCAAAATTAAATCGCAAATTCTGAATAAACATTTTTCACGGAATTGTTTGATTATAGTTATTAAAAATAATTGTTATAATTTCAAACGTGGATAAAATAACGTGTCATTTACACATTTATGAATATCGTGAAAATTATATTTGAATATCTAAATTATAAATTTGAAATAAATATTTTTCATAGAACTCTCTGTTTGATTTCGATTACATTCATATTTTTGTTATAATTATAATTGAGAACATTAGTTTTACGAAATATGGCGAATCTATTTCGGAAGCAAAAAGGAAAGCACTAATGTATGACTGCACAAATTATTTCAAGTAATAAATCTCTATTGTTAATTTTAAAAGTTGCTTGCAGTTTGAATATTTTATGGCTAATTGAGTAATTCATTAAAATATTATATATAATTTCTTTTCGAATCGATTTACGAAGTGTATCAATACGGATGGCTGTTTATTATTATCCTATTGCCGCGCGAATATTTAATCGCCCGTTGATACAGTGTTTTACCGCCCATCGACTATCGACTATCAATGATTGAAGCGGGTAGGGGAAAGAGAGAGGAGCAGAGAAAGAAAGAGAGTGAAGCTCTAAGCCTCTATTGAGTGCCAGCTTATAGACAACACGCGATACGAGCTTCGCTTGTCCAATCCTCTCTCGAACATCCTCACTGCGCACCTCGATTGTACGTCGATGTCTCGACGCTGCGGCTCGCAATTGTGGTCGAACAATGTTTCCGCCTTGCAGTTGGGTGCTTCGATTTGCCGCTCGCACGGTTCTCCGGAGACCGTGACGGCTTCGCCAAAGGAAAACATCGTTTAAAACGGCGTTTAAAGTTAATAGTCGATTCTTGTTTATTCGGTATGTAATTAGAAAACAAAAGATTCGTAAGGTTCATGTCGGTATGGTGTTCAAATTGGCTCACATCATTCATGCGACGCAGGTATTTTTTTTATTTGTGTACTTTTCTACTTTATTTATTTTTTCGGTTTTCTATTCATTTTTACGATAGAGTTTATATTATATATTATTGTTTATATTATTTATATTATATATTGTTGTTTATATTGTATTATTACACATTATTAAAGTTTATGATATAAATTTTTATTAGATATAATTAATATTATTTTATTGAATTATTTAAACTTTTATTGCGATATGAAAATGATTGTTTAAATATAATTACTTTTGTTGGTCAATACTACCAATTATTATGAAATATAAATAATTTCTGATTTTCTTATAATATTTTGATAAAATTAGCTTGTTATTATATATATGCATTAATTATTATATATATATACATATATGATATATGTATTTATATTGTTATATCTATCTTGTTATTATTGTAAAATGCTACTTATAAATATGGTCACAATTTTTCATTGCAGAGTCCCTTTGGCAATTTCGGGGAGTTCCTGAATAGCTCATATCCGGACGCTGCGGATGCCGGAAGCTTACCCGAGGAGTTGGATCCCTTTCCGGAACTGCAACTCGGGAATCCGCAAGGCGTGCCTTCGGTCGACAACTCTGTTCAGTCTCAACAAAGTGTACACCATCAGCAGCCATCGCAACCGCCACCACCACCGCCACCTCTCCCCGAAGACATTCAACCTGATTCTCTTAGGTATGTAAACTATCCCTAAACTTTTGATATTCTATTATTAATGATTGCATGGAAAAAAAATTAATTGAGTGGTACAGCAAACCTATAACTTATTGCGCTTTATATTAACTTATAATTCAATGTCTGTAATTAAGAAGATTTGATGGTTTAATAAATCATTAATGTTATTCAGCTGTCAACTTGACTCATGTCTGTATATTACGATTGTAGATTTGCTGAATCAGTGAAGTTTTCAGTTGTGTCTTTTTTGTGTGTATAAATTTCTTATGAGGATTTTTCAAATAACATAAGCAAAGAAGTTACATTATTATCAATGATATTAGTTATTAAATGACATTAAATGATTGATGTTTTTAGACAATGAAACTTTTAGATACAGAGTTTGTACAGAATGTTAAGTATCCTTGTTTACAGTCCTACGCCGTTACCGAGCTTCCAGGAGACCTACACGCAACGATATACCAGGCAGGAACTCCAAAGTCTCGGTCTTAAGATGGACGAATGCTACGACACTCCGGTATATTGCACCACTACTCATTATCCGACTGAGTTCTCGGCCGCGGTGCCCTATCACGAGCAGCAGTCACAACAACAGCATCCTCACCATCATCCGCAGCATCATCAGCAGGCCCCGCATCATCATCAAAGTTACTTCCCCACGGAATCGGCGCCCACTCCGGCAACGGCGGTTATACCGGTTGTACCCTCCTCCAATCTTCGGCAGGACCCATCCTACGGGGTAACTGTCGCTATGCCTATAGTTTACGGGGCACCATCAGTTATTGCCGTCGCCACTCCCGTAGTTCCTACCGATCTCTGTCCCACTGTCGTCACCAGCGTCGATTCCAGCGTCGTCATTGGTTCTACTCGGCCGCGAAGGGCGTCATTGCCCACTCAGAGATCAGAATCAGCAAGGTAAGATCTTTTATGAATTAAATATATCTAATAAATAACTTCAAGTCTCATTATGCTCCTCACATAAATTAATAACGTTCTAACGTGAGAGAAAGAAAAAATTTGTAATATCTTTATTCATTATTTCGTTCACTCACAATTTCAATTGCTAAAAATCTATAATTTATAAAGTATATAAAATGGAAACAAAACCTTCTAGTTTAAAATTTTTAATTCACATAACTTTGGAATAATGAAACAAATTGAGCAATTTGTCTAAATCCGTGTATGTGACAGATCTTTTCAATTTTATTATAAATGTTGGAACATGAAAGACGCGAGTTCGATTTATGATTAATGATGCGTAGTCTCGAAGACACGAGACCTGACAAGTTTTGGAAGAATCCCCATTCTGACTAGTGACGAGTTATAGATCAATGCGCGTTCTGTGTTGTGTTAACAGTAGTGGGAGCACGGATTCCCCGAAGCCGCGCGGCGGCGGCGGTACCGCGAGTTCCACTGTCAGTTCACCATCGCCCGGAAGCGGTACCAGTGGCGAACGCGCACCTCCAAGTCCGAGCCAGCTCTGCGCTGTGTGCGGTGACACCGCGGCCTGTCAGCACTACGGTGTACGCACATGCGAGGGCTGCAAGGGTTTCTTCAAGAGGACCGTGCAAAAGGGCTCCAAATATGTGTGCTTGGCCGAAAAGGCTTGCCCAGTAGACAAACGCCGGCGAAACCGTTGCCAGTTCTGCCGATTCCAGAAGTGCCTGATGGTTGGCATGGTCAAGGAGGTAAAAAACTTGTATTGCATTAGATATTTAAAAATTTTTTTTTAAATTTATTGGAATATATAATAATAGTATTAACTCTCGACTACACAACACACACACACACACACACACACACACACACACACACACAAATATCCTAAGAACATTCTGATGTATATTCTGAAGCATAGCCTGAAAACATTCCCGAGTATATATGCAGAATTTTTATAGTATTTTCTCAGTATATTCAAAATTTAATACAGGTGTACAATGTTGAAGAACTATAGTTAGAACTATAATACTGACAGTATATAAAATAACTTATTAAACTTAGTTAAATATATATTAACTCTCTCTAGTTAAATGCAATTACATTTAACAAACAAAACAATTTTTAGTTTTCTCAACTGTAGAAAAATAAACGCAAATCATTTTTCGCATGTGATCATTACACAAACGCCATGCTAATCTTCTCTAAATTGTTGCAATGTTAGTACAGGTACTATCAAAACAAGTACAATACAAAAAATACTAACAATAAGTATACTAAAAAGTTAAACGTAATTAATAACATAAAAAACTTTTAGTTTTATTAACCATTAAGCACTCACCTGGGTGTCATAGACCCAGGTAACGAATAAATATTTTTCAGCTTTTATTTGTAACTCTACTGCTCTGAGTATCTTCCTTCTACATCTTAGTCTTGACTTTAATCAAGTAGCATTAATATTGCTCGAATATCTTAGCTAGAAAGAGCAATTCCTTTTACCTAAAAAAAAAACCAGGTGAGTGCTTAAAAGTTAACTGTAGAAAAAAATCACAGCAGAAACAATTTTTTTTATCTCTTTGGTATATCTTCTTTATAGCCATTTTTTAGAATCATATATCAAGAAAAACCGCGGAAAAAAATAATATTAAAAATTACTAGTATGTAATTGAAAACTAGTGACACACTCGCATTAAACTTATATATTAATGAGTACTTTCTTTTTCTTTCTCCATGTTTTTCTCTTTCCC